GGTGAAAGAGGGCTTCCAGGAGGGACAGAGAATCACTGCTCTGCTCTCTGAACCTCCAAAGAAGGTCAAGGTGAAAGAGGGCTTCCAGGAGGGACAGAGAAGGACATGGCTGCTTGGGTCATTAAGGGGACAACCTGCCAGGATGAGTACCTCCTTTTTCTCCTTAGTAGTACATTTTATGTATACAATGTAGTCACATTCATCCTTGGGATCTTGTACCTTTTTGTGATATATCTTGGTTCTTATTTGTTCCCCGTTCCCCTTTTGGATGCCTGTAATCTGACAGCCCTGTTGAAATGTGTCTTAACATTTTTCTACCTAATATCCCTCTGCTGATTTCATTAAAATAACAGCCTCTCCGATGTACTGTAAGGGATGACAAGGTAGGCACCTATAATTACAGCAAGACAAATATCCGTGAAAGGAAATAGGCCACATAGAACTCTTCGTCAGTACCCAGAGTGCAGGATTCTCTCAGAAGGAGTTCCTGGTTATGCTCACGGTCCTCCTCTACAGCCTAACCATAACATTCACCACCCTTTTGTAGTGCTTAGGAGACACTGCAGAATGCATTTTCTGCTGCTTTGAGCGAGACACCAGCAAGAAATAGTAACAAGGTGCATCTAAGGATAATTTGAAATAATAATTCTGTTTTCCCATTCATACCAAAAGCATACAACTTCCATTCCTCATAATAAATGTTTTTCATAATTACACCTTCCCATTTGGCTACCCAAACTATCACGTTTGTCCTTACGGTGAGGAAGCCATAGTTCATGGATGCTTTCTTTATCCATGAAGTCCCTTTGCGCTTACAGGGTGATGCTGTTTCTCTGCTGGGTCATAGTCCAGGGGAGCAGACCCAAAGGGCCTCTTACGTCTGCTGTCGGTTGAAGCCTCAGACTCTGTCCTCGGGACTGAGATGAATGCAAAGCCAGATAGGAGCTTGCTGACACCGACGACCACGGAGCCTGGGACACAGGTGTGAAGGTCACTGGACTGGAGTCATCGAACTGAAGGTCCTGGGGGTGCAAACTGAATATTGGCAACTCTAAGACTTTGGAGGTTCGATGCACAGAGCTTATAGTCAATTGGTCCATGCCACCCCAGTCTCTAAGGACTTCCTAACACTGATGTAAGAGACAAAAGGAAAATAATTGTCCCCAAGAAATTTTGGGTGCTTACTCTACTCAGGTGAAACTGGGGTATCCTAATTAATTCTGTCATTTATTTATATATGTTTTCTACTTCTATTTCTGCCTTTTTTCATTTTTGTAATCATATACACACAACAAAAAATTACAACTTCAGCCATATTACTATACATTTCAGTGGCCCTAATTATATCTCCTCATACAAATTAAATCTGTCTAAATAAAAGATCCAATAAAAAGGAGGCAATGGGAATGAATAAACCCTTATCAAAAAATTCTAATGGCCAATAAGTACATGAAAAAGTGTTTTTATCATTGTTCTTTAGGGACATAGCAATGAAAACAGCACCAAGACTCCATCTTACGCCAGTAAGAATTGCTAACATCAAGAACTCAAAAACAATAAAGATTGGTAAGCCTGGAAGGCTTGCATTGATGGTGGGAATATAAACTCATAGAACTACTAAGGAAATCAGTATGAAGAAGTTTCAAAAAGCTGAAAATAGAAATTCCATCTGAGCCGTCTATATCTTTCTGGCTATCTTCCCTAAGAGCTAAAGATGTCATATTACAGTGGTACGTTTGTAGCAACACATTTCATAAGAGTGAAATTTTAGAAGCTGACTATATGTTAATTGACAGATGAATGGGTAAATGAACTGTGTCCTATATATAGAACGCACTAGTACTGTGACATAAAGAGTGATAAACCTGTCATTTGTAGGAATATTTATGTTCCCACTGAAAAAGAGAAGCATCACATTTCCCCCAATATCTCTCTAGGATTTGTTGTTATTATTTTGTTTTTTGAGTCGTTGATAATAGCCATCTTACTGGACAGAGATGAATGAAATCTTAGTGCTGTTTTGATTTACCTTTCTCTAATGACCAAAAATGCTGAACACTTTTTTTCATACATTTATTGATCACTTTTATTTCTTCTTTTGAGATGACTGTTTCAATTGCCCATTTTTAATCTGGTCTTTTAGCTTGTGGGTCTGATATGTTAAACTGTTATACATTCTAGATTTTAGTCCTCTGGGAAGTAGCTGTAATTTTTTTTCCTATTCTGTAGGTTGTCTCTCTATCCTGTTGATTACTTTCTTTGCTGTGCAGAAACTTTTTAGTTGGATATAAACATTTGGTTATTGTGTAATTGAGATTCTGTGGCCAATATATTTAAGACTTTTTTACCTGTTTTATCTTTCAGCTAATTCAGGGTTTCTGTTTTCATATCTAAATATTTGACCCATTTGATTTGAGTACAAGGTATGTATATAGACAGTAATGTCTTTTGAAGACAACGAAAACTTTTTCTTGGCCAATCCATATCCTTTTCATTTTTTTCTCTTGCCTGACTGCTCTGGGTAAAGTTTTAAACACTATATTAATCATGAGACAGGGCAGTGGACACCACTGTCATTTTTGTGATTATAAAGGAAATGCATTTAGTTTTTCTCTATTAATTATTTTGTTGGCAGAGTTTGTAAGTGGCATTTATCCTAAGTCCCGTGTTTGAGGTAAGGTCCTTCCATATATGTTTCAGTCTAGTTTTTATTTTTATCATGAAAAGTTTTTGAATTTTGTCAAAGTCTTTCTTTGTGTCTATTGAGATTATTATGTGGTTGTCAGCTTCTATGTGATACCTGTCTTAGTCGAGGGTTACATCACTTTGAGATGGCTGTTATGAACTTTACCACCTTTTACCATGGACAGTGCTAATACATCATAAAATTCCTCTAAATCATCGAATAAAAGAGGAAAAAACAAAATTTTCCATGCAAGGAGTGTCCACTATGTGACATCAGAACATAACATTATTGTCACAGTTATCGAGGACTTTGGCTATGAATTAGGTGGAAAAAAAAGTCTAACTTTGGCTGATAGCATGGACCTTGGCGCTCTTAGGGTAAAGTAAAAGAAGCAAAACAACTTACTAACAATGCGATGTTGACGATAATCTCATTCACACTACAGCCAAAGTGCAACTAAAAACATGAGATCAGTTACTCTTCAGCTAGACATCTGAACACAACCGTGTACTTAAAACCAGCTTTATTATCTTGCCCACATTTTGAAATATTTCAATTATGGACAGTAGGCAACATGACTTTTTCCCATGTTATGATGTATTACATTTTCTTCAAGAATCTTGTGTGTGTGTGTGTGTGTGTGTGTGTGTGTGTGTGCGCGCGCGTGTGTGTGTGTGTAGAAAATTGAATGTGGACAGGTTGAATAGTCACTGCAAAATAGAAGCAAAAATGAGCCATGTGACCACAGAGATAGTTACAAAAGGGAGACTCTAAAACAGAGGGCTTGGAACGTGAAAGGAATACTGGAATATCATGAATTTCTAATGTAGTGAAAGTTACTGATTGATAGTGGTTTAGACACAGCACCAAGTGCAACACGGAATGGGAACAACAAGAATCCCCAGTCAACTGCAAAAGGTGAATATTCGAAGGGCAGAACGGAGGTGAAAGACTCCTTTATGGAGATACCTCAAAGAGCTTGGACTGGAGGTTCCATTTGACCCAGCCATCCCTCTGCTGGGTATCCTTCCAAGAGAACTAAAAGAATCATATCACAGAGAAGTATGTGCACCCATGTTTATAGCGGCACAGTTTGTAATAGCTAAATCTTGGAAACAACCTATTTGCCCATCCGTTGGAAACTGGATAAAGAAGTTGTGGTTTTTCTATAAAATGGAATATTACTCAGCCATAAAGAGCGAGAGAATAGATTCATTCATAGGAAAATGGATACATATTGAAGATATACTCCTAAGTGAAATAAATAAGTCACACATGTGTAAATACCAAATAGTTTCCCTGGTGTGAATATTCTGCAACAATGCATAAGATTCTAATAAGATTACTGACATTTAGAAATTTGAAGAAAGGAGCTAAAGGTGTAGGGAAGGTGTGATGCGTAGGGGAAGAACAAAAAGGGAAAAGAAAAAAATGTGAGAGAATGAAAAGATGAAAATAAAGTGTTTGTAGATGGGGAGGGGAGGAGGGGGTGAAGGGAGGGCAGAGGTAAGGGGAAAAAATGAGAATCAAGACTTGCCATGTAAAGGTACATGATCCCAACAATGAATGTAACTGTACTGTATCCCTAAAATGTACCAATAAACTCAATAAAATTAAAAAAAAAAGAGCAGCTCTAGTAATGATGAGGCGATGCATGCTGTTGAGAGGTAATGGGTTCCCAGATGAGGTCAGAAGAGAGTCACCTGCTGACTGCTCCCGTAAACTCATTTCTCGGTGTCCAGAGGATGGAGCTTGAGCTTTTTAAGCAGCACATCTGAGACTTGTCTGAGGCTTCTCTGAGGCTTTATAAACACCTCATATTCACTCCCATCTTTAGAAATCATAAGCTGCAGTGAGGGCATCCAAATATTAGTGTTTTTAACCTCCCCAGATGATTCCAATAAAACACAACCCCGAGTGCCCTTGATATGACTCCAGGACATAACAGGTCTAAATGAGTCTTACATGCAATTCTGAAAGAAAGTGTACACAAGCTTTGACAAAGGATGTGAATTAGAAAAAAAAACACTTATAAAGGGAGTTTATCATTTCAGCTCGAAGCCAGGGTCATTGCACAGGAAATAAGAGACTCCTGGGACTTACTGTTGAAAGCATGATGTTTACGGGGAAAAGAATTCCACAACACTCAGAGAGCACAGTTAACCACAAAGAGAATGAAAGAATAATCCACTGTGGTTCAGAGTGCACCGAGAACCAAGACACTACAGGAATAATTTGACCAAAGAGGGAGGGGTACTAGGACGAGATGATTGGTGTAAGATCGCAAAGTACAAGAATAAAGGAGATGATAAAATTACTTTGCTCTGTTCCATGTCCTCCACAGGGCACTTTTAATGTCTTTGTTCCTCAGGCTGTAGATGAAGGGGTTCAGCATAGGGGTGAAAACTGTATACATCAGAGAGGCCACTGCACTATTTCTAGGAGAATTTGAAGCAGCAGATGCAAGGTAATCTCCAATGGCTGTTCCATAAAATAAGCAAACCACCGTGAGGTGAGACCCACACGTGGAGAATGCTTTATATTTCCCCTCTGATGATGGGATCTTCATAATGGAGGTAACAATTTTGTAGTATGAGAAAAAGATCCCTGAGAGGGGAAGAAAACCAGAGATGGCACCAACAAAATACATGACTATGTTTTTGGTAATGGCATCGGAACAGGAAAGATTAAGAAGTTGAGAAGGGTGACAGAAAAAATTAGCGATTTCTGTACCCTTAAAGTAGGTAACGTGTAAAATGGTCAAATTTTGCAGCTGAGATATCAAAAGACTGAACAAAAAAGACACAAAAATGAAGACTCCACAGAGATGATGGTTCATGATGCTACGGTATCGCAGCGGGTGACAGATGGCCACAAACCTGTCGTAGGCCATCACTGTGAGAAGCGCGTCATCCAAACATATGAAAATGATGAACAGAGACATCTGTGTGAGGCAGCCCATATAGGAGATGTCTTTGTTCTGTGTCTGGATGTCCACAATCATCTTTGGGACCGTGGTGGAGATGAAGAAGATGTCAGAGTAGGACAGGTTGGAGAGGAAGAAGTACATGGGGGTGTGGAGGTGGGAGTCAGAGCTGACGGCCAGAATGATGAGCAGGTTCCCGAGCACTGTGACCAGGTACATGGACAGGAACAGTCCAAAGAGGACGGGCTGCAGGTTGGGATCCTCTGAGAGAGCCATGAGATGGAATTCTGAGACACTGGTTTGGTTTTGTGCTTCTATATTATTCAGACACCTTTGGAAAAAATAAAGAGATTTAGTAAGAGAAAAGAATACACAGCAAGTAAAGAACAGCACACATTTCTTTGACTTAGAATACTTAAAACTGTGCCAAAAGGACTGCATTATCTCTCCACCAAATAAAACTTGATAGTTCCCATCTAGGAAACATCAAGTTCTAGTTTTCCTCCAAGAGTTTCCTGCTATTTGTGTTTTCTGATTTCCTTCTTTTGTGAAGTCCTCGCTCTAATTTTGTTTGTACTTTGAAAATTACCGAATATATAACTTCTCTAACGCTGTGGCCTTTAAGTTTTTATAAATGTCACTAAAATGCACTTAGCCAATGCCATCATGTACCGCAAATGGGTTACTATTATGGACTGACTGCAGTGTCACTGATGAAAAAGTGAAGAAAAGCTATAGTACACTTCTGATTTTTTATTTTTGCAAGTTTATATCAGGCACACTCTTCTATCTCAGTAAAATATCCAGCAAGGAATACAATGCTTTGAAGTTTTTCTGTTTGTAATCTATAATTAGTGCCCTAAGAATACTGTTGTATATATATTTTTATTTTTTTTCTTTTTATTGAGGTTATTGGTACAATATAGGTATACAATACAATTACATTCATCATTGGGATCTTGTACCTTTACATAATAGGTCTTGATTCTCATTTTTCCCCTTGTCCCTGCCCTCCCTTTACCCCCTCCTCCCCTCCCCATTTACAAACACTTTATTTCCATTTTTTCAGTTTCTCATATTTTTTTCCTCTCCCTTATTACCTTTCCCCCACCCTTCCCACTTTCCCTACACCTTTAGCCCTTTACTTCCTATTTCATATTATTAATTGTCTCATTAGGATCCTGTGTACTATTATAGTTTTTCACACCCATGAAACTATTCGGTATTTCAGTTAAAGAAATCTCTGTATGAACATTAAAAATAGGGAATCCTAACATAAAACTAAAAAGGAAAGTAAAAGAGAAAAGGCAATGATGTAACATCAAAATAATCCTTAATTCTGGAGATGAAAATGGTCGCTGAACATATTTAAATTGCTTCTCGCTCTTATAGTCTTATCTTATTCTTTTTTCATTATTTAGAGAATTTTTTATTAGTTTCTGTAATCAAATCCACATAGATATGACCTTACATATTTAGTACGATGTGTTACCCCTGTACACATGGAAAAAAAATAAAATAAATTAACATTTCTAGACCAATATGGTTGTCCATTTCTGTACAATGCCAAGTCAACACAGTAAATTGGGATGACTTTTTCCCAAGTTGGCAGCACCGTTAAAGTTGCCCCAAATTGTATATTTTTATGACCATAAAACCCACTCAGGTATGACAGAGTCCTTCAGAATCACATTAGAACCCAAAGCCCACCATTCTTATGAAATTTATTAGACATCCATACCAATGCTATCTTCTACACAGATTGCAATTATATAAGCTTAGCTACTTAAAGGCAAGTTCAGTTTATTACTTAGTTGTGTCACAATGTGATTACTGGGGAAAATGCAGAAAGAAAAGAAGTAGGCAATACTCATCTGTAAATTAGAGACAATAATTATTTAGATTAGAATGTCATTGCAAGACGATTTCAGACTCATTTAAAATTGCATAGACTGGGTCTCATTTATGAATGTATTTATGTGTGACTATTTTAAAATATTAAGATACTTTAGCCTTAAACTAAACCTAATTTTTTTCAAAACATCGGCATATTACGTCCTCAGGGATCTTTTCCAACACCAGATTTGAGAACCATGGTCTTTAACTATTTCCTGACATTTAGTAAAGTAAACCATTAGTATTATCTATAAATATGGCCAATAATGCTCATATTTTAAAAACAAGAATTTAGCAATATGTGCTTCAGAATTAATACTTTAGAGCAAATTTAATCACCAATGATGCAATTTGAGACGTTGGTGTAGCTGTGTGATTCCATTCTCCTACACACCTGCTTCTCAAAGAAGCAGCTGCCACAGAGTCAGAGGATGTGCGCTAATGTCAGTATATATATACATACCCTTACTGATTTGTGAATCCACAGCATTGTTTATAGAACTCTTACCTAAAAGTGCCTACAGCTCATCTATCCAGTCTACAATGTGAGAAGATCTAGTTTCATGAACTATATGGAAGCGACTCATGCTTTAATCTCTCTGCGTATGACATACATCAACTCTAAATACTGTAACTCACGCACAGCATTGCCAGAGGCAGAAAGATCACTGAGTGCATTTGTTATTGCAGTCTTTTGAAATCCTGCTGCTTCTCTCCATATAACATAAAGGAGAATTTTTAGAAAATATGTTGGTGGGGCTAGGCATATAAATTACAATAGTTGGGACTCATTTTATTTTACTATGGATCACCTGTGTTTTGATGCAAAGAAACTTCTAATTAAACAACGTATCACCGCTAATGCATTCTGTCAACAGTATCGCTGACGTATACCTAGTAATAATCTCTGTCTGATTAATGACAAAGAAGTTTCGTGTTGCATATAGAACAATATTTCCATTTGCCTCCATAATAGAGACGGTGCTAAGTTTGAGAGGCAGGCAACCAACAGTAAACCCCTGTTCTTGAGCTGTTACTGTATGTACAATGCCTTTACGTCTCTCCCCTCTCTGGATCACGCTGCATCACAAAAACAGGGAAAATCTCTCCCACCTGCACAAGCGGTATGGCAGGTAAGCAATGTTTGACACACAGTCAAATTTTGTCATAGCATTGATTCTTCCGACAAAAAGTTCCACTGTTATAGAAACAGTGACTTCATTGATGAAAGCAATTTACAAGGGCCAGCAAAGCCAAGAAGGAAGTGATTCTCAGCTGTGAGCCATCTCAAACATAAAACGTTTTTTCTTCTTCTTGGTATTCTTTTTAGCTTTAAATATGCTTTGAGATCTACAAATATATCCCCACATCCAGAAAAATAGCATTTAAAAGTTTTAAAATTCAGGGTACACTTGTATAGCGCAATGTCTATGCTATTCGGCCACATGTTCTGATTTCCTAGTCATATCATAATGCTTTTAGTGACATACATTTGTGATCCATGATAATCACATTCATCATGGGGAAGCGATATGTACACACAGAACATCTTTCCACATTTCCTTCCCCTCCCCTCCCAGCCCTCTCCTCTCTAGCCCCAACCCTTCCCTGCCTTTGTAAAGTGCTCTCTCTTGTTTCCTATACTCTCTAATTGTTTTTCATTCCCATAAGTATCTTTACTACAGTCTGAATAGCTGAATAGTGTAGAAGCTGTTGAACAAAATGTTAGGGCTCCTTTGGTCATGATGCAGACATAAACCAGAGCTATTCTTTTATTCTGTTTGACACTCCTGCACAGGACACAAGTACAGACAAGAAGTCACCAAGTATATTGAAACAGCATAAATAACAGTGAGGTTTTTTGTTATAAAAATTATAGGATCAAAACTATAATGGTACATAAGATCCTAATGAGATAATTGATAATGTGAAATAGGAAGAAAAGGGCTAATGGTGTAGGGAAAGTGGGAAGGGTAGGGTAAAAGAAATAAGAGAAAAGCAAAAAAAAATGAGAAAATGGAAATAAAGTATTTGTAAATAGGGAAGGGAGGAGGGGTGAAGGGAGGGTTATAATTGATAATGTGAAATAGGAAGAAAAGGGCTAACGGTGTAGGGAAAGTGGGAAGGGTAGGGTAAAAGAAATAAGAGAAAAGCAAAAAAAAATATGAGAAAATGGAAATAAAGTATTTGTAAATAGGGAAGGGAGGAGGGGTGAAGGGAGGGCAGGGATATGAGGAAAAAATGAGAACAAAGACCTGTCATGTAAAGGTACAGGATCCCAATGATGAATGTAACTGTACTGTGTGTGTAAAATGTACCAATAAACTCAATTAAAAAAATTGTAGGATCTATATAGTCTTTACAGAGGTCTTTATTTTTCATACCTGCTCTATACCAAATACGGTATGGGGTTTGGAGGATCAGAAGTCAACATCAGTCGTTTCTTTATGAATTCACACTATGTACTTAAAGAAAAAATATTACAGAAATAGGAAAATAATTACTTCAAATACAGTATATTTTATGTGAATAATAGGATGAGTGAAATTACAGTTACTAATAACATTACCTAAATTGCACATTGCACTTAATTTATACATTTATAAACTATTAAACACATAGCAAGCACCCATACCTGTTTATTTCTTATTCAGTAAGGTACGTGAAATATATATATAAACTCATGGCTATTCTGAGTCTGAAACACTAACAGCTGCCGTGTGTCACAGAAATCACGAAGCCATAATATAAAGTGAAATAAATCAGACGCATAAGCTTAAATATTGCATGGTTTTTCTTACATGGGAAACCCAGGATATAAATAAAGAGCAAAACAGAAGTATTTTGGAACTGTTAGGAAGTAGGGAAATCGGTCTTTTTCAAATGGGAAGGGGATCAAAGGACAGAGAGGAGAAGAAGGAGATGAAAAGTAATTAACACGGGTCTTGTATATGCACTGCATGCTGCCCCGGAATGTAAACATTATGTACCAGAATCATGTACTGATAGAAAGAGTGATGATCCGGTTCTGGAATCAGTGCGGTCACCTTCACTATTTCCCAAGCATCAGAACATTTTAAGCCAATATCGAAAGACATAAATAAAGATGCATTTGAGGTATATTTTTATATTCTGGCAAGTTACCTGAGATAAGGAGCGCCATAAAAACCTGACTGCACATCTTCTTTTTAGATCGGATGGGCACATGATGGAAATTCAAGACGTGGACCACTGTAAGCAGATATAGAGAGGGCAGGAGTGACGTGTGCTGAATGAGCTCCTCCCTGCTCTTCCTGTGATCATCACCTGGGATCCATGGCTGTCCTGCCTACGCTGGATGCAGCAGGAAACACCCACTGCCCTGTCCTGTAGTGAACCAGGAACTCCCAAAAGAAAAGCACGGAGAGTAAAGGATGACTCCAAGAGCAAAGGGAAGTGGCACGTGTCCCACTGTCAACAGAAAAACTTTCTAGCTTTCTCCTTGCAGAATGCCCTGTGTGTATATTCAGACAGATGAATTCAAGCATCTCTTCCCTCTTTTTTACCCCCAAACCTGGCGGTAGTTGCGTGAAAATGGAGTCATCCTGCCTTCTCTGGCAAACAAAGTGAACATTTGTGAGCTACACAAGACTGCGTATGTAAAATGAAATCCTACAAAATGAAATGGAGGGAAATAAAACGAGGTGAGAGGAAGCAAGTTGGACAGCACGTAGCTCAGAGTGTAGAACTTGGGAACCCCTCAAATGTGGTTCATGATACTGCGATGACCCACAGCGCAGCAGGGTTCAGTTTAAACTTTTGTGGGAGAGATGTTTGTGAAGCACTAGTGTAGGAGGGAAGTGAATGAGTTATACCCTCTTCCCAACACAGAACGCAAGCTTCACAGTTTGCATAGTGGAAAGTTTTTTTCTTAGCAATCCTTCAGCATACCAAAACTGTTCTATTAGTCCTGACGAAGAGGAAAAATGTTTCTGGTTGTTGCTTCTCCCTCAGAACTTACTGGATAAAGCTGCTTCTCTGTTGGTTCATGGCCAATGGACACAGATCTGAAGTAGTTCTCCTGGTCAGACAGGATAAAAAAAATTAGGCAGCAATAAGACGAGGAATTGGAGATTTAAAAATTGTGCCTAGACGTAGCTTCAAGACACGAAAAGTTACTCAAGCTTTTCCCCTTTCAAAACACTCATGCCTCTTTCACAAAATCCCCAAAGGTCTTAAAGACACCTTAAGTTTATAAATGCAGATCCTGCATCTATCATTTTCACCTATAAATTGCCCTTCCTCCACCCCCAAGGAAGCAGAGATGCTGGTGGGCATCAGATCTCAACTCATGCAGATGGCTTGCCTGCAGTTTGACATCATGTGTCAGATGTGCAGCCTGACGGACCTTAGGAAAATAGATCAACCATCTGATACACTCCCTTAAATACTCAATTTCAGCTCAAGATCACCTCATTTCTCTGAGTGCCCGAAGTCTGCTCTTGAGAGTACATAGCATCCCTATCTAATAAAGCCTTCTCGGGCTCGTAATGCAAAGTATTTTTCTGCAACAGAGTCAGCAAACCTGCAGACGTATTCCACAAGGGAGTGGTCACTTCCATATTCAGCCACAGGGACACTCGGATCCAGCCCAGTGACATTGCTTCGTATACTTACAAGGCTTTGGGGCCTTCGTTCCCCCGGATGTGAACACTCCGTCTGATAGTCGCTGTCTCATGTGAAAAACCGTAGGAAGAGGAAAGGCTGGCATAGAGCCCACTGTGCCAGAGGCATCAAACTGAAGGCCTGGAGACAAACGCTGATTACTATTATATAATGGGGAGGCTCAATGGACAGACCCTAGAACTTACTGGATAAAGCTGCTTCTCTGTTGGTTCATGGCCAATGGACACAGATCTGAAGTAGCTCTCCTGGTCAGACAGGATAAAAAAATTAGGCAGCAATAAGACAAGGAATTGGAGATTTAAAAATTGTACCTAGACATAGCTTCAAGACACGAAAAGTTACTCAAGCTTTTCCCCTCTCAAAACACTCGTGCCTCTTTCACAAAATCCCCAAAGATCTTAAAGACACCTTAAGCTTATAAATGCAGGTCCTGGATCTATCATTTTCACCTATAAATTGCCCTTCCTCCACCCCCAAGGAAACAGAGATGCTGGTGGATCTCAACTTATGCAGATGGCTTGCTTGCACTTTGACATCATGTGTCAGATGTGCAGCCTGACGGACCTTAGGAAAATAGATCAACCATCTGATACACTCCCTTAAATACTCAATTTCAGCTCAAGATCACCTCATTTCTCTGAGTGCCCGAAGTCTGCTCTTGAGAGTACATAACATCCCTATCTAATAAAGCCTTCTCGGGCTCATAATGCAAAGTATTTTTCTGCAACAGAGTCAGCAAACCTGCAGACGTATTCCACAAGGGAGTGGTCACTTCCATATTCAGCCACAGGGACACTCGGATCCAGCCCAGTGACATTGCTTCGTATACTTACAAGGCTTTGGGGCCTTCGTTCCCCCGGATGTGAACACTCCGTCT